AGATTATGTCGACTCATTAATACAAGTTGTTTTGTATATTACGTGTTAATTTAGTACTAAAATATCTAAATATTCAATTCGGTACATAATAATAATATATTTATTATTTATTAATAAATGCAATAGTTTTATCTGATATAGTTTTAGAGAATTAATAATAAACATTTTGGTAAAACGAAAAAAGATCATTAGATTCTACTTCTAGATGAATAAATGTTTGTGTTTTCCAAGGATACCAATCCAATTTAAAATCATGTAAAATAAAATTAAAGAATAATATAAAACGTATTATTATCAATTTTATACACATCATTATTAATTTTATATATTAATTAATTAATTGATAAATACATCGAATCGGAATTGGGATAAATATACGATGATTGTATTCGAGATTGATAGTATTCATATAATTATACAAAAAGTTGTGCACGAAAATTCTTGTACAGTTTAATATAATTGTATATTACATATTTGTATATATTATTTTAATGGTATATTATTTTTATTTCTGTGTATAAAACTTACGTTTTCGTTTCTAAACATGTGCAGTTGGAATCCTTCGTAAACGATTATGTCGTTAATTACTCGAACAAACAAAATTATCTTATCTCGGCAATGACTGACCTTCGGTTTCGAAGGAAAAATGCGTGCCAAAAGCGGGGCATTAGCAAGGTACAAATGACATGCAGAAAAATTTTACATTACGTAAACTTATCAGAACACAACGATTTTACGTTCAAAAAATGTAAAATAGTCATGCATAGCATGTACAAACAAACAATTTACATTTACGGGACAATTAGAAGAATAAAATTTTGTGTAAAGTACATACTTTCAAAAGAAGCAGAAGAATAGAAGAAATGTTTTATTAAATTTTTAATAATCATACATTTCTAAGTACAAATTTTCATGTAAATTGTAAAATATGTTAGTAATTCGACAATTTAATTCGTAATTGCAGATGATAATTCATAAATAATTTACACAATAAGTGATGCAAATACGTTTAAATAAATGATATTTACACATGGAAAATGCATGTTCAGGAAAATAATAGACATTTAGATAGAAAGAATTAAACTGGTAGTTAGCAACTTTTGAAATATTAAAAATGTAGTTGCTTTATCATAATTATTAAACAGCATTATAGATTATGCAGTGAGCAATATGTATTTTTTTCAAAATATACAATATGATAGTAGTATAAAGGATAAATATATGAGGAAATTGCTATGAAAATACAAGATATTTATAAGAAAAACAATTTATTCGATCAATATTTTCTTTAGCAATAATAAACATATTTTTGGTTTTACCGATTAACATGAATCGCTCACTCATGCTCGCAAATCTCTTATCATTATTGCTCTCTTACACATACACACACGAACACAACGCGCGCGCGCGCGCGCGCGCACACACACACACACACACACACACACACACAAACACGACACACTCATTCACTTATATATACGCGCTTTTTTCTTTTCACGCTCGATGGACATGTACACAAATATCTTGAAAGATATCTACTTACTGATTCGATCGCAATCTTTTCCTACATATACGTTTATATAATCATAATATATATAACACAAAATTGCTTAACGCACGAGCCTCGTGTCAGACATGTTGCGCTAATAATATTCGCTAATTAATTAATTTACCCGTTTTAATTAATCAATTAAACCGGGAGAACGGTGCCTCTGCGCGATCATATTCATCATTTGTCATCTTCATCACGGGACTTTCATCACTAGCGAATTAATGAAACGTCATTGTCGGATAATTAGTCTAAATTAGTTTTAATAGTCGCACATAATTAATCAACTAGTTAATTATAATGGTATGTTACAATCTGTACGTATGTACGAAGAACCGGGATCTCTGGTAAGCCTCGAGTTTCCGCGAGTTATCTCGTCGTCCTTGTCCGATAACTCGTTTAATTTGTATTTTATTTAAATTCTGAAGGAAAAAGAGAAAACCCGATTATGCGCTACCAATTGATCAGGTCCAACTTATGCTATCTTTGGTCCTCTAGCCGCTATGATTCGTTGCCGGATATGCGAATTTCATTTGCATCGTTGCTTTTCGCGATCTCTTGTGCTTACGTTCACGCGAGGACGGATAATAACTTTGGAGATTTTGAAAAATTGAATATTTCTACGACAGGAGAAATATATCGTATTTACATAAAGCTTTCGCGAGTGCTCAAATGCTATTATATTTCAAAAGTTTCATACGCGAGTCTGCGATCGTATATATTGTAACATCAATTGTTTCTTTTTTTTCTGTGTAGATAAAGTACAGCGTGCTTATCACTTAAGTTACACATTTCGCTTTCCTTTACTTATACAAAAATAATCACTTCCATTCACGCTTTTCTTTCACAGCAACAACTTCCCGCGGGAAGCATATCTTAATTAATGACGTCGGTATTGTATGTATAAAATCAACGTCGATATTGTACCGATAATTATAAAAGTGTATGCTAAAGAGCGAGGATAAAAATTAGAATCGCAAATAAACAAATAAGAGAATTTAAAAATATTAATCAAATGAGAGATCATGAAATGAACAAAATTGACCTCGTTAAATAGATGACGTTTCTCGATATAATATCATTTTAAAAACGGATGACTTTGGCTTCGATGGACTATGATACATGATAGAAAATAGTATTTAGCTCATAGCTCTCGATTTATACGTTTTTATGTCATATTTAGATTTATTAGATATCAATGTAAAACTGAAATAACACATATAAAAAAATAGCTTTTCGATTATTCCAAGCGAAAAATTAATTTTTTTTTTACATCAATTACACTTTATTGATTATACGCAATCTTAATAATTTATTAATCAAGATGCTTACTTAAAATTCACAAGAAATGCTACATTCTTCAACGGTTATATTAAAACTAATAATATATAATTAAAGGAACGTATTAAAAATAATTTTGATATCTGCATCGAGGTGTTATGAAGCTTAAATGTACGTTAAACACACATATTGTTTATGTATTTAGAGGTGGAGATGCACTTTTTTTAATAGTAAGAGTGCAGTAATATTTTATAAATATGAATCTGATATTCGACGATACTAAAGAAAGGCACGTTCAGGCACTTTGTTTTACTAGCAACCTCAAGTCGGTCAAATCGAAATTACATACATTTATTGCGAGGACAATTAGCAGTTCGAATTGAAATAAAAATTTTCTAATTTAGTTTCCATTCGCTTGCTGTAAGCATCAATAATAATAATTGTAAAAGCAGAAATTTATTTACGAATACATGCAATATTCTGCATACGCCTCAAGAAATATATGTATGTATATTTATATATGTACAGTGTTCACCGTTCAATTTTGTAGATGTTATTATAATTATCATTTCTAACGATAGATATATATTGAAGGTTTAATTATTATTATATTGATATTAATATACTCTAATTTGAGTAATATGTTAGTGAAAGCGCGAACCTCGAAAAATATTTAAAAAATTAAAAGTCAGAAACTTGAATCTTCTTGATTATCAATGCAGCATCTTACTTAATTAAAACAATTATAGGATTGATTTGACGCCTTAAAAAATTTTATATTTGTGTGAACTTTAAACTTTTTTAGATTCATTCATTTGTCGTATTTAATTATATTTCGATTCAGACAACGTAAAAAAAAAAGAAAAAAGAAACAGAAGAAGATATCAGAAATAATACATCAAAACTTATATGATAATAAATTCTAATTACGTTAGAAATATATCGAATGATACAGAAATACCAAGGTACTGGATGTGTTTTAATGAAAAACAAAAAAGGTCATTCGATTTATGTAGATACTTTGCGTTCGATTACGTGCTGCATACTTTAATAACTATATCGAGTCGAACAAATTAATTATTTTATAGTTTTTAATAATTATACCTTCGAAGAAGCTATCGCGATGTGGTGGAATTCAAGAGAAAATATTTACAATTCCATTTCTCACCTGAGCGTAAGAGAGATCGGCTCGCGAAGAGACAGCGAGCTTCGACGCCGACTGACGATCCTTGAATTACAGCGCCTCGAATCTGTATCGTGCAATCACGCGTGCAATCGCGGCTGTATGTATTTATCATTTTTGAGATAAAAAAAAACCAATTTATGTCACTTTCGTGATATGTCGGTTTTTTTTTTCGTTTTGTTCGAAATACACATGCTACTTCGATAATTCGCGTTACACTTTCGTGGATATCTCGAATATTCCGAGCATTCCGAAACGTCGACCATCGATATATCACTACAGCTGCGACCATTGAAGTATAACTTGCAGTTAAATCAAGCCGATAAAATGAAAGGAGTGATTCGATGCTAAAGTACACGTCGTGTCTAATGTAATTTATATTCGTATTCCAACCGACATGGATATACGACATAACAACGGTGCTGTTTTGACGTCGAGATGTTGATCAAGAAGCTGTATTAGCATGTTGCACACATATATACGCCATAGAGAGAATAAGTATAATCACTGATATGATAAATGCGAAGCGCTACATCTCGAAACGATTCTCTTTGATACACGTGCATCACTACACGTCAGTCATTTATTTGTAAAATTAATTGAAAATGCACACGTGTCTTCACGTTGAAGCGACAATTGCTAATGCGAACATGAGCCATTTTCGATATTCAGTATTGATATATTATAACATCAATGTGCCAAACTAGATAGTCACGCAAATTGAAGATAAAAGCATTATTTTTAATCTGTGAACATATCTCAGACTTTCGATCTCATATACAATTTTGAGAGTCAGAGAGACAACAAATTATCTTTGTTTGTATAGAACGTACTGAGTTATAAAGAAAAACACCGAGAGCCTTTCTTCTACTTTAATTTGAGAAGTTATATCTTTCCGAGATTTGATTTCTTACCTTACTATATTCAACCTCGCACAATTAAACTATCTCACAATAATAGTATGTAAAAGACGCCGAATTCCTGCGGGTGTCGCTGTCTCAAAAATACATTTTGATACATTCAGATACATACACACGCACATATACGCGCAAGTGATATGTTTGTTACTCCGTCCAACCAACTCTGGAGTTTAAGTATCTACGAAATCTCACTTCCAGCAGCCGATCTCGTAGTACGATTTGCGGTATTCGCAATATTGCCCTCCCCCAACCGGTCATGGTAATGTCGTGATCCAACGATACATACCGCTTGGTTATTCGGCTCGAGGACCTGGTGCGCGTTCACGGATGAACTGTCTGTCAAATGAACGAGTCTCAGCTACTGCCCGGAACGGATATCACGTGGTAACCTGCGGAGGATGCTGAATGCGGTGGTAACGGCGAGTGCCGATTGCCATTTGGCTGTTGATGCTGCTGTGGTGGTATCTGCAGAGAGCGATAATCGAGCGCCGGCGCCGCCGGATGTTGACCTTCCCGATGCCTACGTAGATCGACCTTTCTCTGGAACGCCTTGTCACAAAGCCCACATTGAAACGGCTTGTAGCCGGTGTGCTTACGCATGTGCGTGATCAGGTTGCTGCTCTGGGAGAATGCCTTGCCACACACGACGCACTTGTGTGGTTTCTCACCTGTAAAATAGAATTATGAACAGTTTATGGATCAGTATATGTTGTTTCGCTCGACTATAATTATTTTTTGATAAGATTTTCAAAAAATGTTCCAATGTATAAAGATAAGTCAAAGGTATATTTTTAAATTGCAGATCTAAATCATTTTAGCAAGTATAATTTTGTTAATTAAGGTATGGCCTAGTACAATGATCTATTCGCTGTTTGTAGGTAATTACACACTGAATTCAATATATAACACTAGTATGTTATACAAGTTGTCGACTTGTATCAATTAATTGCTCAATGCATTCTGTTATCATTGACGTCAAATGCAGAATATTGTGATCGCGATCGAATATTTCATATATAAGTTACAGAGAATGGAAGTGACTCGTTACTTGTAACGAAGTAACAGTTACTTTTTTGTAACTTTACTGATAACTACGTTCTTTTCTTTTTTGGAAATATGGTAACGTAGTTACATTTTTTTGTAACGGTAATGAATTTTTTTATCGTTACTTTATAAACGATTGGATACTGTTCGATTTGACAAGCCACTCATTGGGCTTAAGACTAGAAAGTCCTTATAGGCATCCGCTGTGATTAGTGGTCATCGATTTTAAAAAAGTAACGGAAAAATAACGAAAAGTTACTCTCTCAAGTAATGGTAACTTGTTACTTTTTTCACTCAGTAGCGAGTAACTGTAATTTGTTACTTTTAAAAAGTAACTTTGCATTTTCTGATAAGTTATTGCTTTCTATAATTATCAAATAATAGTTATTAATTCCGCAGATCATATGTTAAAAATGTAGTTTCCTCTTTTGAATCTAACAATTTATAGTTTCCAATTTTGGATTCAGCAAAAAATAAAAAAAAAAGCGCAAAGCTTATATAAGCGATATTGAATACGGTTATTT